AATAAATAATTAGTCAGATACTGAATAAAGAGCTATTATAGATATTTATTTATTTTTTTAAGATAAATCTTTTCTAATTATTATCTTTCTCTAGATCTTTACAGTTTATAATAAACAGGATTTTTAGAATTAAGTCCTATATTTTATAATTATCTATTATTTATTATTCTAAATTATTAAATATATTTAATTTAAATAGATAATTAATCTTGCTGTTTTATTTTTCTGCTAAAAATTAAGTTTTTTTAATTAAATACAGATTAAAAAATATCTTATAAAATTATTTAAAGAGATATATATATAGCTGCTATTAAAATTTCTAAATATTAAATAAATATTAATTATAATAAACTGCTGGATCAGCTCTGATTAAAAAATATTTCTTGATTTAACTAGATATTTCTTAATAAAAGATATAAACTATTATAAAATTTTACTAGACTTCTGATTAGTATCTAGATCTTATATTAATAAGAATCTAGCTGTAATTATTCTATTAGTCTTATATAAATATAATCTTGTCTATTAATTATTAAATATAATAACTAATAATACTAGTAATAATAATATAATATTTAATATAATCTCAGCTAAACTCCAAACTTAACTTAGTCAGAGTATTTAGCTTTATAATATTTTAGTTAATTTTAATCTTTTAAAAATTATTTAAAGCTAGTATTATATTTTCTATCTTATTTATATAATTTAGCTTATAATTAATACTCTTCTACAGAAACTTTGGATTAAGATCTTGAATAATACTGTTAAATATATATAAAAAAATAATAATAAAAGTCTTAAAATCTTTTTTAATATTTTAAGAATTCTTAAGAAAATATATTCTAAAAGCTATCTATAAAAGACTAATATAGAATCTTTTTTTATAAAGAACTTCTAAAAGTTTTCTATTAGCTAATTTATTATATTAATTCTTAATTATAGATTCAGAAGATTGTATAATTTATAAATATAAGTTCTTAATATTATAAGAAATTCTTATTTATTTAATAACTTGAATCTGGCTTAGTCTACTATTTTTTTTTTAACTATAAAACCCGCTGGAACTTAATCTATCTTATAATTTATTAAGTACTTAAATTCTATTAAGTAATCAAAAATTTTATTCAGCACTGTAAGTATAATAATATTAATTATCTTTATTTTATTATAATAAAATAGAAATAGATAAAATATCTTCTTAAGCTTTTATATCTCTTTTTTTTTTTATTTTCTGTTTTTTTAAAAATAATAGGCCTACTGTTCACAAGATCTATAATATCTATAATAATCTTTTTAATTATCTAGATTACTTAATTAATAAACTAGAAAGAAAGCGGGCATTTTAAAAGAAGAAGATTCTTAAGAACTTATATAATATATATTAAAAGTTTTAAAAATATTATTATTATATCTACCAGACAGAAGACTATATCTATATAATTATAATTATTCTGAACCTGATATTAAAGCTCAAGAAATTTAAGAAAAATATATAACTAAATAAGAATATTAACTAATATTATAAATACTAAATTATCTTTAAGAAGATATTCTCTTTCTATTCTAGTTAAAATCTAGTAATTAATATATTATTAATAATCTTTGGATTATTATCAGATCTGGATAAGATCTTTTATAGTATTTCTAAATATCAGAGACTCTTATCTGCAGTTAAGATATATAAAGAACTTAAGATATATCTAGATATTAAAAATATATAGCTTCTTAAGATATCTTTAATTAAATTAATATAATTCCAGATACTACAGAATATATTAATATTCTTACTTATTAAAAATTCTGCTGTAATCAGTTTTCTATTCTTTATTAAATAACTAGAGATTTTCTCTTAGTTGTAATTAATAATATTAGTATTAAATATTTTTTTAATAATTCTTAAGATATCTGTTACTATCGCCGGAGCCGTCTTAATTTTAATATAATTAAAATAATTATACTTTAAATATATATTAATTATTTTACTATAAATAAGAAGTATCAGAATATACTTAATAATCTTAATTTAAATTTAATTATCTTTATATTCAAGAAGCAAGAGAAGAATAAGATAATTATTATCTTTTATATTAATAAAAATAAGAATATAGATAATCTTGAAGATAATCCAGAAAATAGATTATTATTAGAATTAGAAGAACTAGTCTTATCTAAGTCTTTAATTATTATATATACTCAGATAAAGATAGAGACCCGGTCTTTATAATTTCTATATTATTATAATTATTATCCCGGACAGTATAAAAAATAAATATTTTATATTTTTTCTTATTTCTTCTATACTAGATTCTATAAAAGCTTTTTCCAGAGTATAATATATCTCTTAATATAATTAATTAAGCAGATCGAGTAGTAGACTATATCTAAAGAATATTATTATATCTATACTATAATTAAATATATATTATACTTTGTATATTATCTATATAAAAAAAATATATATATTATAAATTAATCTGCGATTATTAATCTATCTGCTATATCTGATCTTTTTAATCAGCAGATATAAATAGTTATAGTAACAGTTATATTTTAATCTAATCTTAACTATATAATTAAAAATTTTTTATATCTTAATCTGACCGCCAGATTATGGCCAGGTTAAGGTTAAGATATAATGGTCAGGTTAAGCCACTCTAGTTATGGCCAGGTTAAGATTAAGATATAACAGTCAGGTTAAGCCACTCTATTCTAAATTATCTAAATAATTTAGTTCAAAGAATTAATATTACTAATTTATCAAAATAAACTAGCTCAGATAAGCTAAGTTAAATTAAAAAGTATCTTATATATAAAATTAGCTAATTAGAAAGATAAATTTTAAGACAAAAATTTAAGAAAGAAAGTCAGATATTTAAATTAATTTATTAAGACTTGATTTATATAATAAATAAAATTAATAAACAGAGATATATTAGTTATCTTTATTATTTTTATTTAAAATTTTATCTAGGGTAAGCTCTAACTTCTAAATCAGATATTTCAGAATTAATTATTAATATAATTTAATTAATTATTAATTAGTTTAAGATAATATTCAAGAGATTTTATTCTGATCAGAATTAAAATCTCAGTACTTTTTTAATCTGAACTAATATTAAAAATCTATTAATTAGTTATTTATCAGTTTATCAGTCAGAGCAAAATCTATATATAGAAAGATTTAAAACTCTAATTATTTTTAAAATAAGAAGTTTATTAATTAATTCAGGACTTCTTATATTTTTATAATTTAAAATAATAAATTCAACTATTTTTATTCTAAATAGAATATTAAATAAATAACTAAATTAGAAAATATTATATAAAATTATCTAGAAAAATCTTTCATAATTATCTGGAAAATCAGATATTTTCTGTTTAAGAAAATATAGATTATATATTTATATTTAAATTAATAACTTATTTAAAGAAGATAAACTAGAGCTCAGAGCTCTAATTAATTATCTGATTAATTATCAGATAACTAATATTTAACAGATCTAAATATTTATTTTTAAAAGAATAATTTTAGCTTATAATATTATTTTTAATAAAAATTTCAATTATAAATAATATACTGAATTAGAAAATTTATTAATAAAGTAAGAAATAACTAAATTAGTTGATTCTATTTAGTTAGAATAATTAGATATTTCTATTTCTAAAGAATCTAAAGAATCTGATATAGATAAAAAATTTTTTAATTTAAAAATATTAAAATAAATATCTGAATCTTTATTAAGTAATTAACTAAAATAAGATTAGTTAGCTGCTGAGCTAAGCTAGTTAACAGTCTCAAGTAATTAGTTAGATATCTTAGTCAGATAAGATAATAATATAATTATAGAGGATTTATTATCTTTATTATCTAATCTATCTTCTTCACCGCCTCAGATTCTTATTAATAATTTAAATATTAATAAGCTGATTAATAAAACTAAATTCTTAGATATTAAATTAATTAAAGATCTGAAACAGATCTGCTTAAAATTATCTAATTCTAATTCTAAAAAAATTAGACTTATTCTTCAAGTTATTTAAACAATAATTAATTATATTAATAAGAGTAAAATTCTTTATATTAATTTATTATCACTTTTATCTCTGTCTATTAACTGGCGAGAAATAAAAAATCATATATTTTCAAGCTAATTTACTCAGACTGCCAAAACTGAAATCAATTAATTAAAAGCCCTAAATACTTAGAATATATATTTAATTTATAAAACTAATAAAGCTGAAGTATTATTATTAAAATAGATATTTTTATACAAATTTGATAAAACTGATCATCTGACTGGTTTCAAAGCCCGAATTTATATTAAGAGCAATTTGCAGATATCTGATTAATTAGAAACACGCGCTAGCACCCTTGCGGCCAGATCTATGCGGATTTTTTTGGCTCTAATTACTGTGTTTGACCTGATGCAATCACCGCCTTTCTTAATAGTCTTATTAAGAAGAAAATCTATATAGATCTAATTCCTGAATTAGAAAACAAACAAACAGTTTTTCTATTATGGAAAGTCCTATATAAATTAAGATATTTATTATTTCTTTAATAAAATATTCTGAAACAAAGACTAATAGTTCTAGAGCTTAAGTCTATTCAGAAAAATTAATATATCTTTATTAATAAATTTATAATTTTGATGATTTTTGTGGATAATATAATTTATATATTTTATAAATTAAATTATCAAAAATTTAATAAATTTAAGCAAGAATTAATAATATTATTTAAATTCAAAGATCTTAAAGAGATTAATTTATTTCTTAATATTTAAATCTTATATAATTATCCAAATAGGAAGTTATGGATTTAATAATCAAACTATATTAATAAGATTATTAATAAGTTTAATTTAGAACAAAGAAAAAGCCCTAAATCTCTATTTTTAAGTAAGAAATTAATAAAGAATCCACTTTATCAGGTCATTATTAATTAAATTTATAAATTTTAATAAAAAATAGAATCAATTCTATATTCTGCAGTTTAGACTAGATCTGATATTATTAAATTATATCAGTTGATTTTAGAATATTTAATTAATTCAAGCCCTAAATATCTCAGGGCTGTGAATTATTTAATCTTCTATTTAAAAGAAATAAAAAACTTAGCTATTAAATTTAGCTCTAGTTCTATTTTATTTTATATAGTCAGTAATGCTAGTTTTGCTGATAATCAAGATTATACTAGCTTAATAAAATATATTATTTACTTATTTAATAATTTTATTAATTAGCTAAGCAAGAAACAGTATTATATAATTTTTTTAATTACTGAAGCTGAATTATTAGTTCTAATTACTACAGCCAAGCAACTTTTTTAATAGAGAAGATTTTTTAAATAAATAGGATTTAACTCTAATTAATACTTCTCTATATTATATAATAATTATTAAACAGTTAAAATTCTTACTAATAAAAATTTCTTATTTTAGACTAGTCTGAAATATATTAATATTACTAATTATTAACTAAGACAAGAAGCTCTGAATAAAATAATTAATATTTATTAGATATTTATTAATAAAATATAAGTAGATAGCCTGACTAAGCAGTTTCTTAATCAGAAATATACTTAATTTATTAAATAGTTAAATATAATAATTTATTAAATTCTATTATTATTATTTTCTATTTTTAGTAATTTATTTACTTTAGTTTTTTCTGATATTTTATCTTATTAAAACTGCAGGGGTGTGTTAATAATATAGACAGACTGGTCAGTTTGCTGTCTAAGACTCGCCAGTTAGCTGCCTAAGGCTCGCCAGTTCGCTGTCTAAGACTTATCAGTTTACAGCCTCAGGCCAGTTGGCTGTCTTAGATTATCAGTTAGCAGACTGATAATTCCGAGTTCTGTCTACCCCGCAGCAAAGCAAGAGACCTTACTTTTATTAATTATTCTAGCCCCTATTCAACCACTGGTTCTATTATTATAAGGGTGCGTGTTGAGATAGTGTGAAGAAAGTATATCTATCGCGAAGTTAAGATAGTGTCTGTATTACTTAAAGTATTATCGCTAGTCTTCTATCTAGCTTCTCTCGCGGATGATATATCTGTGAGGATTCTGTGAGTTATATATTATACTAGTATAATTACTTCGCGAGGGACTGTCTCCGCAGCATAGATATTCCTCGCGATATATTATCACAAGAATTATAAGGATTACTATTCTTATAATTATCCCCCTTCTTAGGATCTTGATTCCTAAGATTATTATTTATAAGAAATTAAATATTATTAAAACTCCTGCTGTAAAATCTTCTTCGCGAGAAAATTAATTAAAAGAAAAATAGTTCTCTTTTTTTTTTATAAGATTTATTTTATACAGATTCACCGCGGCTGTTCTATACAGCTGTAATTATATTATTATTTACTATATTTTAGATCTTTATAATTATAATTAGATAGTAAATATCGCAAGTACTTCTGTGATTATAATTAAGTAGTAAATATAATATAATATTCTTAATTTAAATATAAATCAGGGCTCGGGGCTCAGGACTCAGAATTCTGAGAGAGAATATTTTTTTTAAATTTTTTTTTTTTTTTTTTTTTCTCTTTTAATTTTTTTATTTTCTGATCTTTTCTCTTTCTTCTTAATCTCTGCGGCCCCCCCCTCTCTTAATTATTATTATTATTATAAATAAGTACTTGTTTGAAGAATTCTTGCGATTGTTTATATTCTTATAATTATTTTATATCTTCGCGGCTATTTTATACTTTTTGCGGCTTGCTTTATATCTTCGCGGCTGTTTTATATTTTCGCGGCTATTTTATGATTTTTGCGGCTTGCTTTATATCTTCACGGCTGTTTTATATCTTTACAGCTTATTTTATATCTTCGCGGCTGTTTTATATTTTCACGGCTCTGAAATATCTGTATTAGATTATAAGATATAATATTTTATGATTTTTTATTGACTTGCAGATATTTCTTACTTTTTAAGTCTGGGATATATATAATCTAATCTAAGAATTATAATTAACTATCTTAGTATCTTTTTTTTTATATTATATATCCGCCGGTCTTCTTTTCTGCGAAGAAATTATTATTTTTATTATTAAGTTTTTATTTTTTTTTTCTTTTTTTATTTTTTTCTTTTTCTTCTTCTCCCCGCGAGTATCCGCGGTAAGTGGTTTCTTAGAAAGATTTATTTTATATCTTATAACTAATATAAAATTAAAGCAATCTATTTTTATAATTATTATTACTACTATTATTACTATCACTGTTACTGTTATTATTATTATCTCTATCTCTATTATTACCGCCGCTGCTAATACTGCTATTATTTTTATTATAATCTTTTTATTTTTTTCTCTTATAATAGATATCTATCTTCTTTATAAAATATAAGAAACTAATTTATATATAGTCTATTATTTTATTAATTAAAATTTCTGGAATAGTCTGGTCTCTTATAATATTATTTTTCTGTGTTTTTTTTATAGTTTACTATTATAATAAAGATATTATTTTAAATAATATTCTTGCTGCCCCTGCGACCCGCAGATAATAAATAAATAGATTATTCTTTTTTTTTAAAAATATATTTAGATTTATTTAGAATTAATCTGTTTTATAAAATATTAGAATTATAAACTAGACTTTAACTTAGTTTATAAATCTATCTACAGTAAATTAATTTATTAATATTTTTATAAATATATTAATAATTCTGTTAGATCTCTCTTTTTAGACAGAATTATAATCTCTGTCTAATTAAGAAAAATATTAAATTATATAGTTAATAATATAATCTATTTTTTTTATTAGATTTAATAACTACTATCAGCTAGAGATCTGGGCTTAGTTTTATAAAACTTTTTTTATAATTAGAGCTGGCCGACTCTTTCTTTTTAATTAAGTATATAATATATATTATAATCTCTTGGGCTTAAGAATATTTATAATATATATTAATAATAATTATAAACAAAGATATAATAATTATATTTAGATTAGATATAAGATTTATTTTTTATAGACTAAGTAACTAATCTATTTGTTTTTATTTTTATAAATATTTATTATATCTTATATTTTGAGCTGCTGTCAGATAAGAATTCTTATAAGTAATTTTTTTTATTATCTTATTATTTTATTTTTTCTTTTATTTTTTAAATAAAGACTATACTCGTGAATAAACTTCTTATAAAATTATAAATAATATAGATTTACAGTTAGTTTTCAGATATTATTCTTATTAGAATAACTCTTTTATTTAATTAAGATTTTTAAGAATCTGTTCTAACTCCGCAAGACTAATAAGATCTCTAAATAATATTTATAATTATTTTTCTCCGCGAGAAAACACTCCTGCGAGTCTATTCTATCTATTTTATAATATTTATAAAGTAGTAATATATAAAATATATTATATATTTATAATTCCGCAGATAACTCCAGCCTATAGACTTATAAGTTTATCTATTTAATAATATAATAGAATTCTCTATTTTACAGATCTAGCTTTTTACTAGTTTATCTTTGCAAGAGATATTTTATAGATAGTTAGACTATTTTTTTTAATATAAAGCTTTTTATTTATTTTTTATAATTATAAAATTATTTCTGCTTTTTATAAGTAGAAATTAGATTTTTCTTTATTTTAATATAAATTTTTTAGATATATTTAATCTATTCAGAGATTTTAATCTCTGTTTTTCTCTTTTTATAAAAATTTATCTTAATAACTCGCGAGTGTTCTGTAATAATAATATAAAAAAATAATTTCTTTATAAAGACTTATAAGATATTATTATATATAAACTCTGTAATAGATAATAGATTTATTTAATTATTTTATTTAAAATTAATATAATTTTATAAGTACTATTTAAGAATATTATTTAATCTTTTAGTCTAATTATTAATCTGTAGATAATAAGCTGTGCTTAGTTCTTTTTTTATTATAAATATATAAATAAAATTAGATTAGAAATTTTTTATAAAAGTACTATTATAATCTATAATAATCTTCGCGGATATATTATATAGATAAAAAATCTCTTTAATAAAGATTCTTATAAGATTCTCTTTATTAAGACTCTTTTATAAAAAAATAAAATAGACTATCTTACTATATCAGTCTATTATTATTAGAATACTATTAAAAATCTCTCGCGAGTTTTTAATAGTACTAGTACTCGCGAGTAGATTAGTAATAAAGTTTATTATTATCTTTTCTTAGAATTTTATAGATATAGATAAAGATTCTAATAATTCTTATTATTTTTTATAAATTATTCTATTATCTTGATATACTTTACAAATCTAATAATATTTATTTATAAAACTATCTATCTCCGGCTATCAGAATTATTATAATATTAATATTAATATTTTCTTACTCGCAAAATAATCTGTGATAAAGTTATTATATAGTTTCGCGAGTATTCAAAGCTTAAGAATATACTTATTTAGAATATATAATTATTTTACTCTTTATAAGAGATCTTTATAATTTTTTTATTATAAAATCTTATTTATTTATTTTTTTTTTATAACTTAAAGTCTTTAGAATCTCTCAGTTCTTTATAAACTTTCTGTGTCTATTAATTTTTTATTAATATTATAAATATTATAGCTAGCAGCTTCGCGAAAAAATTTTTATAATATAATTTTTTTATAATAATAATACTATCTGCTATCTTTTTTTCTATAATTTTCTATATATTTAAAATATATCTATAAATAAAAATCTATCTAATACTTGCAAGTAAAGCTTTTATTTTTATATTCTCTAATTTCTATAGTCTAAGTAGATTAGATAATTATTATAAGACTAGTTTATCTAGTTTCTTATAATTCTCGGCTGCTATTTTTTTTTTATAATCTAAATATTATAAGAATATATCTGCAGAATTCTGCGCGCCCGAATAATAAATAAAATAAAATTAAAATATTATAAGTTATTATATTTATTATATCTGTCTTTGCAACAGCTCTGGGCTTATTATAAAATATTTAAGACTTTTATAATTAATAAATATTTTTACCGCGAGATTTATTCTCTCTAGTCAGTGACGCTATTCTCTAAATAACTCTATTATTATAAATAATTCTTAATTATAAATTCTATAATTTCTTTTAGTTATAATTATTTTTTATAAATAAAATATAATCAGAGTTTATTAGTTATCTGTATTTCTCTATAATAGTATATTATTAATTATAAAACTAAATATATCTATTTTAATATATATTTACTTTTCTTTTTTAAAGTAGATAATT